TTAGTCACCACCCCTTCAGAAAGGTTCTTACCATGTTCCCCATAGTCTTGGCCTTCTCATTGTCTAGTCCCCTTTGAGAGTCCTTGTTGGCCAACAATAGCTATCACCTGTTACTTCTAGACACACTGATGATCTTCTAAATGCCATTTAACCTCTAATGCCTCCTGTACTCCGGTCACACCCTGGGATGTGTCCACACCTCAGGTATCATCATAACACAAAGTATCGCTCAGGCCCAAATCTCTAACTCGGAAACATCTTTCACTGATTTGCATCCTTGTCCCTCTCACACCTGCATCTTTGATATGAATAAACCTGTTCTTTTCCCCCACGGACCTTGGTATTTAGCCCTTCAGCCTCTCTGGGCTTTCTTCCCAGGGAGACGGCTACCATCCATCACAGTCTCTTTAACACCGCTGAATCGCTCATTCGCCAGGCCTCCAACTCTCCAGCCTCACCTGCCCCTCTTGCTTCCAAGGCTGCTGAGTAATGATGGATTCAGATTGCAAGTCCTTTGCCAATTAACCTCAGCTGCACTTTTATGGCAAAGTAACAATCAATTTATTCATCTCCTAGTGACTCACGCTTGCCCCCAGTAGCAATTCCAAATGTTTTCCATTCCCTTTCATATTTAACCCTATTCAGTTCTCTCTCACTGTCAGGACTTGCTTGAGCTCTATAAATCACAAGTAAAATTCATCATCCCCTCTCTCTCTTCTAAATGACTATCTTTTATAAGTCCGACATACAAATATTACTCTAATTTGAATTAAGTTTTGTTATGTGCAACAGAGAGTATAGGTGATTGTTGAAAAGATTCAAGTAGGATAATTTGCACTGTAATTAATGAAAATAAAGCTTTTTACTAATAAAAAAGATACTTAAAATCCGATCATCTTTAATATAAAATATAACTAATTTTGAAATATATAATGATTCCCAAGTTCAAATATGGAATGCACAAGTAATCGAAACATTTCTGAATATTATGACCCATAGTTTAATAACTCAAAAACTGTATGTACTTCTCTTGAACTTCCCTACACCAATGCCTCTTTTCATCTCCATTATAATTTCTCTGTAACTCCAGATTCCAGAAAAATGCCAGGTCTATGATTGGGAGCCCAACAAATACACCATTTCAGCAAGCATACAGAAAACAGTTTGCTAATATACTAAATTGGACATAAATTTCCCTAATGGAGTGAAATCACTAAGTCCAGGCCACAACTTGATGCAAATCACTTACCTAAGACATATATTTTTTTAAAAATAGATCTTTTGCAGCTGTAGTAGTCCATAATTATTTTATATAATGTTAGATACGAGCTCATTTTGTTTTTATGAATTATAATTAACTAGCATAATACAAACAGTAGAACATTCATCTCTATCCTCAGGAATTAAAAAAAAAAAAAAGCTGAGAAAGCAAGACTATCACACAGATAACCACACCAGATAATACTGTATGAAACACTAAATGGTGAGGTAGAGGCTGGCGGTAAAGGCCACATGACAATGTGTTTTCATGGGCGAGTTTGAGAAGATTTCACACATAAAGTAAGAGTTGAGCTGCCATCTGTGAAAAGGTGGGTTTTGGGCAAGTGGAGAGAGAACGGTGACTGCTATTATTTTGTCATATTGTCCGTTTTAGAGACACTGTTATTTAGCATAATGAAAGAATTCTTAAATGTGCAAATTTTGGATTACAAAATGGTGGGGAAAATAAAGTGTTTAAAAGTAGCATTCTCAAGACAAAGAAAATGTCCCCTCTGCTTCTGTATACAAAATATCTAAATATCTTCACTTACTATGATCGCTGATTCCTACGTGTTTGGTCTTTCTACACTAAAGCAAACACTGTCACAGATACTAAGTTGATATGTTAGAAGCTTTGCGAAGATATGCTCTGGATTTTGGGGGTTTAAAATAAAGCCTATAAACATCAGAAAGTTTCTTTAATAATAGAAACATTCAGATATGGCTGAAAAAAGAAGTCGAAGGGGAGAAACATCAAGTCACTATGTAGCTAGAGAATTCTCCTGAGCAAAAATGGATTGCATATTACACACACACAAGACACAGGATTCACAGGGAAAGGTCCAAACACTTAACATTCAAGAGGTGTTTGTTAGCATTGGCAAAAATTCACATTTGAGTTCACTTTTTAAGGCAGATGTCAATAAGTTTAGGGTATGTTGGCTAAAAGGTAGATGAACCATAAATACAGGAGAACAAAACTTCAGAGATGAATGAAAAGAAAGAAAATTTGGAAAGTTGTTAAATCAAGTAATTCATTATTGTTAAATTCAAATGTATGTCTTTCAAAGACTCAATTTACAAATACTTCTAGTCATTTTATCAAAACCACAGATGTATTGTGGGGTCAAATGCAGGAAAGAATCTGTCACAGGTGGTGATTTATAAGGAGATTGCTAATTAAGATCCTGGGCAAACTTCAGAAAGGGGCATGGAACTCCCAGACCAAAGAGACTCAACCCACAGGGCAGCTGAACTGTAGCCTTAGGAATGATGACAATGATGTAAGACTACGTACCAAGAAGAGCTTTAGGTAACGTTCAGATTTTGTTAAAAATGGTAACTCGAGAGTGAAATTCTTCAGCATATCAGTGAGTCTCAAATATGCCTTTTCTGGCCAGTGATTGACTTCGAAGAGACATATTTGAAATTGTGTGGGTACTGTGAAAATTCCTTAGGAATTGTTGCATATAAAGCAAGAAAAACAGCAATTTTATACATCTTTGCTTCCCTCATACCTCTAAATATGTAGTAATTTTTTGCATCTTTAGTATATTTACTCTATTTTTCCTATTAGTGCTACCTGCTTCCTAGATTTCTAACTATAGTCCTATACATAGTAACACAGTATTTCTCCCAGTGCAATTCTTACAATGTCCCACAAGGTTCGGCCCAATCTAATACCTGCCTGACTTCTTAATTCAAGTCTTCTCCTACCATTTTCTCCCTTTTGTGAAAGGAGAAATTCACTCTGAACCCCCTGTCAGTTTCTTTATGCTTCTGTGTCCTTCTTACGTGTTCTTCAACCCCAGAGGTAGATCTGTGACTACATATACAGTTTCACAAGGCCCCACACTCAGATGCCCTGAGTTGACTTAATGTTCTGCTGTTGTCTTCTTGAAAGCCTTCATCATTTCTTGGCAAGGGGCTTACATACTCATTTTGCTCTGGGCATGTCAAACTCTATAGTCGGCGCTACCTATTGCTTTACTTTCCTCTTGCACCAATCATGCAACTTGTTTCCCCTTCCGATGACCACTGTGTATAAGCAATTTCTTCCTCCTGAAATGCCCTTCTGCTGGTTTTTCACACAGATGATTCCTTCTCATCATTCAGCTGCAGTATAAATAACAACTTCTCAGGAAGACCATCCTTGATTTCTGCATCTAAAGCGCCTCCTCTACTGTTCCATCTCATTATCCATTTCTTTGTCTGAAGGCACGACAATCTGCAATCATCTCATTCTTTTGCCTCCTTGTTCAATGTCACACATCCCCCCCTCCTAACTGGAAACTAGTAGGAAAGCCAGTACATCCTGTAAACCCTATATATCCTGGCAAATATACTTGTGAATTAGCAGAACTTAAAATGGCGCCTCACACATGATAAGGACTCCATATTTATTTGTTGAGTGAATAAATAAGTTAATCAAAGCAGTAAGGGCTGCTTCAGAAATGTCTTTGAGGGTAATTTCTTCCTTAGTTAGAGTTAACAATCACTATGGGTACTTCATTCATTAAATCCAACATCATTTTATATGGTTTCCTCTCTATGTACAGGGTACATATATATTTGCGGTAAGACACCTAACAATGTGAGATATATGTGCATATTTGTGTAAGTATTGCTGCCTTTCTATCAATTTATAACCCAAAAAGTAACTCAATTTCCTATACCAAAGAAAATGTATAGTCCCATGAATAAATTTTCTCATTACTTGGAAAGAAGCTGAAAATAGTTCTGACAGAAAGTAACAATAACTTCAGAAAAAAATAAACAGCTTTAGGTCAAAAGAACAAAGAATCAGCATTCAATGCTAGTGAGGCTGCAGTAAGATCAGAACATTAACAAATTGTGATAATAATGTAAAGTGGTATAAACCTCTCTTGGAAATGAAGTATTTTGGCTATAAAAGTATTAATATTCTCTGACCCAGATCATCTACTTTTAGTTCTTTATCTTATGTAAATGTAATTTATGTAATATACAGAATGAGCGATATCACAGACATCTATGCGTGTTATTTTTAATATTGTAAAATGAAAATAAAAGCTCTAATTGAAGTAAATGTTTAAATAAATTTCAGTATTCACTAAAATATTTTATAACTAGGGAAAATTATATTTTGTGACAATTTGGGATAACACTATAATACAACATGCTCAGTGAAAGAAGTAGGATCAAATTATGAAAATATATTATTACTATTAATATATTAGCAATGTAATTTATTAATATATTTTATAATGGCTAAAAAATTAAATAAAATCTTAACAAAAATCATAGACAGAAAATTGTGGAAAGCCAGTAATACAGTAACTAGATTTATGAAATTTTAATTTTTTTCCATTTCTGTCATATTTCTAATGTAAATATAACATTTGCTTAGGAAAACAATTTAAATATATCTAAAAAAAACACGATTTCATATCATAACATTTTCAATATAGGCCAGTACGAACTCTTAAAATGGCTTGCTAGCAAGAATGTTATTTAAAATCAAAATGGGAATGTAAGCAAAATTTAGTAATTTTTTTCTCAAAATGTATTCTCTGATAATTAAACCAACATTGATATATTCACTTAAAACAACAAAATTTATATAACAATATTGGAAGAGTATGTTTCCAGGAAGAAAGTTAACTCTAAATAATTAGCTGAATACTTTTAAATATCAGTTAATTCAAAGGTAATATAGCAAAAAAGCAAAACAAACAAAGAAACAGTAGCTTGGTACTCACAGGTATACAATATTCCACCATAGGATAATGTAATTTGTGACCTTTTGCTGTCCGGCCCGAAAAAAAGCAACTTTGGCAGACATCATAGTTAAAGTGCTTTAGACTTCTATATCTAAAGAGAAGAAAGGAAAATTCATTGGGTTACATATCCATCATTAAGTTCAGATCAATCACATGTGGTGAGGAATTTTACTCATTCAAGACACCATAGAATTAAAAGGTATATTGGGCACAAATTAACTTAGTATCTTAGCTTCAAATCAGGACAAGGAAATCTTGAATTTCACAAGCTTCAAATCAGGACAAAGAAATCTTGAATTTCTCAAAAGAAATTCATAAACCTCTTCCCAAGTGATAAAAGAAAAATTCTGAGAGTTCAAGTTGTCTAAAACATGTTTCCATCTATTGCACCATGATGAGAAAATAAATATCCATGTCTTAAGACTGTGCAATGTGTCAAAGTGAATGTTAAGTACAGAGAAGTCATGTTTACTAGCTTGATACATCAAATTACAACATATGAATTATACTGTCAACATGAAACACATCTCAAAAGTCACAAAGGGATAATTTTTTACAATGAATATTTACATATTTGGTTAAGCCAATCATTAGGGGAAAAAATAGAGCACAGAAATCCTCTAAAATGAGAAGTCACAATCTTAATCACCATGCACCCTGGAATGGAAACAGTTCTTAAATCTCTCATACAGAAATGAAACTGTGTGTCAGCTTTCATTTGCAGAATTGGAGGAGTATAACTGAGACTTTAAGTTTCTATGGGTTTAAGTGGAAAACACCTCCTACATCCTTCACCTGCCAGAAGGCTGGGAGTAATTAATAGCATAAGTATATCGATATGTACAGAAAAAAAAAATAAATAGCAGGACTAATGAAAACGGGAACAAAATGTGAAGGTGATGTCAGGTTAATATTGTAAACAGTCCTAAGTGCTAAACAGCTTCTAAACTGATGTGGAACATCACAAACTGATCTCATGAAAATCAATCTAAATCCAGCTTATTTTGGCAGCGAAGGTACCTGCTCTAAAACAATCACATACACTAACAACATTTCCTGGTCTATCAGCAGGCTTGACAGACATGTCTGGGCTCTTCTGAGGACTCTTCCTTACCCCTGAACACTTAACATGGCAGACAGTCCCTTTACCTTTCTTCATCAGTCACACCCCTTGTACTGTTAATGGCAGAGAGCACTACTAACAATAATGTTTCTTAATTTCTCTTGTCACAGTCAGTGGGTTGAATTTCTAGTAGGAATTCCAAGGGGTTGATTCATTTAGGAGGGGGCATGTCGCTCCTGCCTCCTTCCTGAGAAGTGGACTTTGATGTCTGCAGGAGCCAGTCCCTTAGTACAGACTTTGGAAGGTGAAGTCACATGTCAGGATGACAGAACAGCAGACAGAAGTATGAAAGGGGAGATATTGGTCAAAGACTACATACTTTAGCTGTCAATCCCAGACTTGAAACTTGACATGGTGAATATGGTTAATAAAATTGTATTATATGCTTATAAGTTGTGAGGAGAGTAAGTATTAAATGTTTTCTTCACAAAGAGAAATGGCAACTATGTGACATGAGGTAGGTGTTAACCACTGTAGTGGACCTAATCATTTTGCAAAGGAAGTATATCAAATAATCAACACTCTGCACACTCTAAATTTATACAATGTTATGTATCAATTATATATCAATAAACTGGGGAGCAGGCAGAATTACAAACTTCAGGTGACTATGAAACCACCGTCTGTCTTGGTTTGCTTACCTCAGGGCTTTTTCTTACAAGAAAAGAAACTAAACCTCTAATTTATAATTTATCTATGTTACTATTAAGCAGCTGTATATGTTACTCTTTAAAACAAGTCCCAGGTTACAAAGGATTCTGCAATATAAAATAGCAAATTTCATAAAAACTGAATTTAGAAGTAAAGAAAATGAGCAGTATTTATAAATGGTCAGGGAATTTATAAAAGCTCAATTTAATATATATTTATATACATATATAGTTATAAAAGTTACATAGTGAGTGGTTGCTTAATATAAAGTCAGGCTGGATGAAGCTAAGTTTATTTTATTATGTACATACTCCTCATTATACGAAGATAACATGATATTGTAAATAGAAAATCCAAAGATTCTACCAAAAATACTTTTAGAAATAATAATCAAGTAGTAAACTTGGAGACTACAAAATCAATATAAAAAATCCTTTGCACATTTGTACACAATGAACTAGAAAAAATAGAAATGATGCAAATGATAACATTTATGATTGCAGCAGAGATAAAATACTTGAAAATAAGTTTAACCAAGGAAATGAAATACCTGCACACTAAAAGTAGAAGACACCATAGAAAGAAACTGAAGAAGATACAAAGAAATTGGAAGAACCAATATTGCCAAAATGGCCATTTACTTAGCTAAAGCAATTCATAAATTCAACATAATCCCTCTGGATCCTATTGTCATTATTCATGGAAATAGAACCAAGAATCCTAAAATTTATATGGAAGCACAAAAGACTTCTAATATTCAAAACAACCCTGTGAAAAAGAACAAAAGTGTTGGTATCATGCTCCCTGACTTCAAACTGTACTATAAGGTAGGATAATCAAAATTGTCTGGCATTTGAATTAAAAACTAGTGCATAGATCAACTGGATAGAACAGAGAGCCCAGAAATAAAACCACACATATACAGGTCAACTGTATGATGAAGGAGGCAAGAGGCTCCAAAAACCTCCTCATACTTCTCTTTTATTCCCTACTTCAATCCTGACTTCCACAGCACACCATCATTGTTCGGCTTTCCTGGTATCCCCGCTTTGATGGACAGTTTAGGGACAGCTCAATAACACTTGTAGGCTTGTGAGTATCCCGTCCAGTAAGTCACAGAGCTAGCATTTACTGCATGCCTGCTCTTTTTAGAGACAGACAATGTCCTAGTCTCTTTTCATGCATTACTGTGCATTTGAGGAGGCACTCAGAGGATTTGAAGTGAAGAAATTCGGGTTCAGGAAGGTCAAGCAATGTATCTGAAGTCACAGTCAAAGACCTCCACTAGGATTCAAACCCAGGCAGCCTAATTCTCTAATTCCAGAGTGAGTTCCCAATATACTGCGACCCAAATACTCTGCTGAAACCTGGCCTCTTCCTGCCTGGTGTTTACATCTTTATAAAGATGCAGATCTTACTCCACATTTGAATTTTACATCAGTTCTGAAAACTTAATACTTAACCATCGTGCCCCTTTATAACAATTCTTTCATATTTCTCTTATTGAATATTTCAAGTGTAATCAAAAATACAAAGATATAATAAACATCCATGCAACTCATATCTCAACTTTATTGAATCATGATATTATGTTACTGTTGATATAGATTTGCTCTATTCAAGAAAGAATGAAATTCTAGTATTTTTTAATCCATCTTTCACTCCTCACAACCAGTCGTCTGAGAAATCTGGTCCCTCAGCAATCTCTGGGCTATAGCAATGGCCGCACATGATAGGTTTTCTATAAGCCAGTCCCTTCCCAAGGCGGTTAACCTAGGTGTTTCCTGTAGTTTTCACACTACTTTTTAAGACCAGAGTAGTATTTCTGGTCTGCTAATTCAAATCAAAGGTTCTGTTTTGTAGCATCTCATTGCTTCTTTTTTTTTTTTTTTCTTTTTTAAAGATTTATTTTTATTTGTGCATACTGAACTGGGGTACAGGCCAGAGGCTCAGGGGTGGCAAGAGACTTCACCAGAGACAGAGTGGGGAGCAAAATAGGCAGATCGATGAAGTACACTGCTGAGGGGAGCAGCGGGTGGGTCAGGAGAGGTCTTTCGTGCCATGTGGTCACCACCGGGGCAGGCAGGAATCAAACTCATGCAGAAGTGGCTTCAGCTTCCCAGTGCGGTGCTTTAACCCGCTGCGCCACCAGGGAGGGCCATCTCATTGCTTCTTAATGGCAAGTTTCTCCTCTCCCAAATATCTAGTCTGCTTTTTTAATGTCATTAAAAGCATAAACTCCAGAGGCAAAAGGTCTCTATTTCAATCCACTTTCATTTCTACTTATTGGATAGCTGGTCTTGGGCAAATTGTCTCATCTCCAAGTCTTAACCTTTTCACATATAGAAAAAGTACACCAGGAACCTGAATAATGCCATTTTAGTCTACATTTTTCCCCTTAAAATGATGGTTTCCCAAAACCTATCAATAACATTATGTGACCAATCTTATAGGACTTTTTACAAAGAGTAAATGAGATTAAAAATGCAACACATTTTAGCACAGTGCTTGGCACAGAGTAAGCACTTGACAAATGGCAGCAATTATTTGCTTTGATGGTTATATATTTCATTTGGATTTTCTTCACAGTAGGGTTGCCTCATTTCAGCTATTTCCTCTTCTTTCTGTCCATCTGTCCACTGGACACTTCCAACTTGCCTTTGCCAAGTAGCCTGATGCATTTAAACTATACCTTTCCCATCTTATTCTTTCTAATGTTTGCCCTTGACTTCTGCCAGGGACTCCATTACCTTGATTGTCAGGGTTATGCCAATCCCACTTCACACTTACTTTCTACTTCTTGAAGACCTCTTAGAAGATACAGGCTCACAGGTACCAAGGTCTTCTGAACTTACAAGACTTTAGAGGTCTTCCCAATTTATGGAAGAAATGGATATTTGAGATCTATTTCTTATATTAGCCTTCCACAGAGAATGCAAAGATACTATTGTTCATAGAAACTATACTGACGCAGCCAGTCAAATAAATGAAAGCAAGCTGATTCAATTCAAGAGATGGTTATTGCTACCACAGACAACAAAGCAAATGCCAGCCATCCTTACTGGTTTTCTACCAGAAAGTAACCATCTTTGTCAATTCCTGGTCAGGCAGGAATAAAAGGTACATATGAGCCCGCTGGGATCCCTCAGGTTTAGGTTATTTCACAATAGATTTCCAAATTAAACAGCAGTACTTTTCCAGATCCCCTCTCCCCAGAAGAGAACACAGTGCATTCTAAAATGTCTAACATTTTCCTTAAGAGAAAAGCCCTGGCTACATCTTACTTTGGGATAAGCTATAAGTCTTGTACAGTCTGGTTTGGGGCCACAACTGATGAATCAGATACACCCTGACATTACTGTGTGCCATTTAGCCCAGCTGCCACTATGAAGGTGAACGATGTGCTAATCTACTTCACGGTCAACTGGTCAACTTGGTGGCAATAACACAAAATAATTGGATTACTTGTCAGTTAACATTTAATGGTGCTTCTTATTCACTGTGCGACTGCAAAGGCCTCAGAATAGCTCCGAATTCCATCAGGGGCCTATGTATATATTGAGTCATGCAGTGACCGTGCATGAACACGTCTGTGACTTGTGTTAACAGAAACTCAGAAACGACTCTGGTCCTGGAGCAAAAAGAGTATAAATATGATGACGGTGACCACGAATACTACTACCTCTACCATCACTACTGCCACTACTACCACCATCATTAATACTACCACCACCACCACCACAAGCTTCATGCCAGGGCTATAAGAAGGAATGCTACTTTTAGACTGGTGGAGTATACTCACTGACTCAGGAGGCAAAAAGCAAATGCCAAAATGGTGACAAGTGGGAAGGGGTGATGGACAGACACTAAAGTCACACAGACAGAACAGAGGACCGTCTGCTGCCCCCTGCTCCCAGGTCCCCTTACCTGAAGCCTACAATTGGACATTCTTTACAGATGTTGCATTTGGCCTGATGCTTTGCAGTTTCAGCTGCTGCAACACGATGTAAAACCGGCAGCCAGACCATGGACTGCGGCTCTAGATGCATCCAATCTATAAATTCCTTCACACTTATCTCTGGCTTGTTGTTATTCTGGTGAAGAAAAAAAAATTATTTAAAGTGAGAGAAATTTCTTCATTTAAATTATAGCAAGTGTCCTTGCTTCATTGTGTGAAAATCTGTGCAAAGATATCTATTTTCAGGTCAGTGAAATCACAAAGTAGCCAAAGTCCTTCAGGTGAAATAAATTCTAGAATCTAAAAATGAAAAAGCAAAAATTGTCCATCAAGGTAGAAGAGAAATGTCCCAATATGTTCATATACTCAGAATAAAAATACAAGGAAAACCGAAACAATTCTAGGAGCTCTTTTTATATAAATACCTTAATCCTAGAAAACTCATTTATCTGACAGGAAACATCTGTCAAAGTCTCAATGCTTCCAAAACTTAAAGGCATTCACGTTTATGCAGCTTTCTAAATGTTAAAGGACAACAGTCATTTGGTGCACTGCTCCAGTCCTGTTACAGCGTATTACTATGCCTGCACTTGGCAGGATTTTGAAATTGTCCTGATAAATGGTAGGAATATGTCTAGTCTCTCTTTAAATCTTGATATTAAAGTTTTTTCATATGTGTATAGATAAGTTGCCCAAATATCCTTCTGTTATCAAGGTCAACCTAGGAAACAGAACATGTGAGAATCATATTTAGAATTTTCATCTAGTAGTTTCTGAATCTCTAAAACAAGAAAAAGGGTCATTATAAAATTTAATAGACCTTAACATTAGTCCTTTTTACAGAGATGGTGTGAACATTTTTTTTTTTCCTCAGCAGTGATAAATCACTGGATAAACTTGAGCAAATACCTGAAGGCTTGTACCTTATAACATATTAGGAGTTACAGTCTAAAATGCTTTTCTATATGGTGAGTTTGAGAAAGCAACTAAGTGCATTTAGGTTAACAGTGACCAGAGCAGCACAAAACTTTGTACATTATTTTTCCTTTGCTGGAAAAATGCACAAAATGAAGAATGATATTAAAAAAAAAAAAACCCAGGATGTGAAATATTATGATTGGAAACAAGAGCAAGGGGCACGGCCAGGCACAGGGAGGGACCGACTCTAGCAGTCCAGCAGCAAAGCTGAAGCCCAGGCACCTTATGGAGCAGTGTGTGCACCTGACGGGTTGCTGTTCCTTGAAGAAGCAAATGCACCTTAGGAAATAAAATACAAACATAATGGACTGGCACCCAATGTCCCAGGGTTTGGCTCTTGTCCAAGGGCTTTATTCCTTTTCTGGGAGCATCCTCAACTTCCCCACACCCTGTGCAGCAGGGACCCCTTCACCTTCACCTGCTGGAAGCAGCTTCGAACACTGGGCTCAATGTTACTGCCTCCAAAAGCAGCTACTTCCCCCAGCTGCCGGGGGATCTGGATGGCGTCGTGAAGTAACAGGCCAAGCTGTCTCTGGTCACACATTTCTGTCGGCCCCGCCACCTCCTTAAAAAGATCTGCAAGCAGAGGAGAGGTTAATGTCCAGCTGCCTATGTGCTCTTTTATCTAAAACAACTTTAGTTGGGTGAAGGATGCAGATTAAACAGAAATTCATGGGGACGTAATCCGGTTAGTGGGCACCTGAGTTCTGACAAACTTCATATCTGCAAGTCTATAATCAGGAACTGGTTAGTCCCCTACATCTGAAAAGAGTTTACTGCCTGTATGTTAGTACATATAAATAGAGGAATAAATAGAAATTTCCTTCTTAAATGGTACAAGAGGTGAGTATGGGTTCATTTCATGGCCTTAGTAAAGGTTTCCTCTTGACTGAGAAAGAAAAAGAAAGATCCTTTAGGTTTCGATTCCTAAATTCATGTTCTATTAAATAAGTATATAGTTAATTCCTTTAAGTAATTTTATACTCAAATTGATTTTATATAAAAAACATTGCATAGTACAAGGAGGTGGTGTTTTATTTTTATTCTTTTTAGGTGCATTCAAACTCTCTCATTCTTATAAGTTACAAAAATTCTTTTGTTTCCACTCTATTTCATATTGTTCATTTCATATTGAAAATATATTCATGATAAATACATTTATTCAAATTTAGCAAAAATGTGTATATACTTTCACATAATCCATAGACTTTTCTATTTGCCTTTTAAAAACCACTGATCTGTTATATAATTTTCTTGATTCAGTAAAATTAAAATTCTCTTCTTTCCAACATTGGCTTATCACCTACTCACCACTTGCAGTATTTTGAAGATTAAAATTATTACCATCTGTCCAGCAATTAATCTAGTAGACTATAGGTAAGCTGAAGAAGGGAAAAATTTCACATAGGAACAATTCACTGCCTTATAAAATTAACACTTTATGGAAAGGAACCTCAGACTTCTAAAAATTCAAAGGAACATGCTTCCACTGTGAAATTTTCAAGCACAAAAGAGTCAATATTTATTGCATCCTGTAAATCATTTACAAACAGTACCTGGTCAATGAATATCAGATCAAAATGTATTATTCCTTATTTTTAAGGGAATCATGCTATATCTAATACTGTCAACAGTGAATTTCAAACAGCTGAACCAGCCTCAGTGATATTGACACAGCAATTATAATGAAATATGATTTTACTTTAAGCATACATGTGGAAAGCAAATTCAATTAATATAAATTTTATTACCATTCAACACTAAGATTTGGTTAGAGTTCTGCCTGCTTCTTTTCATTTTTTAAAAATAAGACTGCCATAGCTAACAGACATTTATCCAAATTCTCATTATGCTGCTCATGCAAAACTCATCTCTGGGAAGAGACATCCTAGGTGAATGCACAGTTGATGCAGCTGTAGAATCATCTTTACTGAGAGGCACCATGTTCAGCAAGAGTAACTGCTCCCAACTTCCCTCCTTTGAGGCAGATACCACTAAGTTGTTTTAAAGGTAAAAGAGCACTTAACACAAGCAAAGATGTCTTTAAAAGTCTGACATATTCCCTATTTCTTCTACAAGAATTTTGGTACATTTATTTTCATATACATAATGGAATGTTGGGTGTAGAAGAAAAATCTTAACACTCAAATGCCAGTAAACCAGCAGAGAGGACCAGCAAAGGCCTGCTGAAGGATTCTTTGTGAATGTGTTTCTGAGTAGGCAAAGAAGTCACCAAGACAGAAACAGGAAGGTCACTCAATCAAGGGAGAGTCCCAGGAAGACACAAAGAGAGAAGGAAGTCACCGGCGTGAGGACGAAGATATTAGCCATTGAAAACTCAAAGTACATTCGACACCAACTAACCCAGTATGCCACTCTTCCACTAACTTTGGAGTGGAAGTTGTACTGAATCTTAATGCTCACAAAGGAAATAATGAGGAGAAAGTGTTCTGATCTCACCAGGGAAATCAAAACTGGAACTAGTCACAAAGGGCCACAGAGTAAAAAACAACACAACCCCCAGAATATTTCCCAAGCCTCCATATTCCCCAGAAAGGTTTAGATGAAAGACTTCAACCCAAGCGATTTCAGATTTAATTAAGTCCTAAAGTAGCAGACTTCATGCATTCAATTTAATACCAGAAATTTTCATTGCAGGGGTTTCCACTTCCTCTGCCATAATGTGGAAGTTTACTGTGGAATTACCCAGAGCATTATTCTGATGTTTGTAGACAACACATGCACTCTAGTCTGAGTGCAAGAGCCCGTGTCTGCTGAAATGCCCATGGGAAGTCTCAGAAACCCTGGAAATTCACTCGAAGGTCTGTGTCTAGAAAAAGGGCACCTGCTGCTTATCACAGCGCTGAGAATCTGGCTTTTGCCCCTTGACTCTAGCCAGTATTGCCATTCTTTCTCTGGGTCTCCCTTATAATGTTACTCCCTAATAACCAGCTCAAAAAAGGACAAGGCTGTGTTGGTGGTGGACCCATTTATCTAAGAAATTCAACCACGCTTCAATTTGCTAAGATTCATGATCAGCTCTGAAGTTGGATCTGCATTCATTTCAGTGCCAGCTGAGCACTGTGGTGTAATTGCTGCATCCAGAGAACCCAACAGCATACAGGAGCACGTGCAACCTACAAATCACACGTGACGAATGGTCCTTCCTAACTTTGGTGCTCTGGTGCTTGTGTCCACATCATCCCTTCTCACCCTCTAGAGACGACCTTTTTAGCTATGGCAATGATGTCTTTTGCTAACTATGATGCTGAAAGTGATTTTAATTCTGGATAAAGTGCCCCCACCCAAAGTCTTGTGCAGAGCCTTTACCCACATGGTTTTCCAGGTTCTCACTCCACCAAGATACCTTGTCTCCTGATTCTACAATCAGATTTTTGTTTCATACAAATGCACAACTATTTTCACTGACCGTCATGTCAAATTGTAAGAAAAACAAGTGAACATATTCTAGATGTGAAATACAAAATCAAAGAATGCACTTCTCAGCCACCCTAGACAATCTCACCCCATTTCCCTCTAATATGTAGATAAATCTGTAATGTATCATCTAGAATATGCATTACTGTCTAGAGTTACTTAAATGTTATGAATGAAACTAAGTTAAAAAATATGTCATCAGCCTCCCTGGTGGCGCAGGGGTAAAGATTCGGTGCTATCAAGCTACGGCCAGCCACTGCTGCATGAGTTAAGTCTCCGGCCAGGGAGGTGACCCACATGGTGCAGCAGACCTCTCCTGTCTCACCCGCTGTTCCCCTCGGTAGTATATTTCAGTGGATCTGCCCGTTCTGCTCCCACTCTGTCTCTAGTGGTTTGTCTTACCCTGCACCTGTGGCCTACACCCCAGTTCTTATATGCATAAATAAATAAATCTTTTTTTTAAAAAAATAATGGTTATAGTAGTTAAGAATTTGGAGACACAGCAACAATATAGACCAAATATCCAATAACTGCTATTTTTAAGTACCTTCAACATGTTCTCTATAAATGTCTTCAAAGCAGGAGTTATTTACTAGCTTCATTTACCAACTGAAGCAAATTCACTAAATTTCAGCTTCCTGGACTGTGAAATGGGGAATGTGACTGGCAGCATTTCATATGACCCTGTGACCTGTGCGAAGACACTTAGCTACTTCCACAGGCCTGAGATCCAGGGTAGATCTCACCGCCTCCTAGGATGACACTTTCCAAAGTCAGGATGCCCTTCATTAACTGGCAAGAAAAGGGACATGCTGAAAATTCGCTGAACAGCAACAAAGTAAAATATTTTCTCTCTATTTTCTCATACTATCAATTAATTGTCTGTCTTAAAACAATTCACAGCCACCTTGATTTTTTTTAACCACTTAAAGAACGTAAGTTTCAAGTATAAAGTACAGCAGAGAGTTTCTAGTCCATCTTAATTTTCTTTCAGCATTGGAAATATACAGAAATAGAAACATTTTAGCTTTATATCAGAAAAATCTACCACCTAATTCTAGCCCCACTGTTATCTCTGCAGTCTTAGACTAGGTTTTTTTTTAAAGATTTATTTATTTATTCATACAGAACTGGGTACCAGCCAGAGGCTCAGGGGCGGTGAGAGGATTCACCAGAGACAGAGTGGGGTGCAGAACAGGCCAATTGATGAAGTACACTGCTGAGGGGATCAGCGGGCATGTCAGGAGAGGTCTGCCACGCCATGTGGGTCACCTCCGGGGCAGGCAGGGATCGAACTCATGAGGAAGAGGCTTTAGCTTCTTAGTGCTGTGCTTTAACCTGCTGCGCCACCAGGGAGGGCCCTAGACTAGGTTTTTAACTGATCTCAGCATTAATTTTTTTAAGCTAGAAAATACCTACAATATGGGGATATTATTCTAAGCATTAAATGAAACATAATTTGTAATTATTCTCACTCTATCAGGCAGTTCACCTCTTGATCCTATAATCAACTTTTCATTTTATCTAAAAAACTCATCTCTCTACACTGTTTTCCTTTGTCTAACCTATAAATGTATAGAAAGGGTTAAAAGAAGAGAACTATAGTTACTGGGATATCATACAAAGTATATTCCAATACATTTAAGTATCATTATTACTAAAAACATTATTCACATAGGAAAGTCTTACATACATCTGTACTTTTCTTCTAAGAGACCTTTGGAAAGAGATGTCAATCCAATCTTCAGACTCTGAACTCTTATCTTTCCAGTTCGACCCCTGAAATTATAAGAACCTCAATGTATTACATGTGTTTAAAAGTACGTACAGTATATTAATTATTTCTGAAATCACTTTTCTTGAGGGTAAACCATTAAAAAATAATTATGCCTCAAAGATACAACTTTTCTACTTATTATTAATAATTGATGTTAAACTCATACATAATTTCATAACATACTTTAATAGTACACTTGACCTAGTCTAGACGAATATGCAGCTAAAGTCACTCTATATATAACTTATGAACTAGGAAGAACAAAATGAGGCAAAATGAAAATTATAATTATAAAGGTGAAAATGCTTTAATTTCATAAATACTGAAATCTATCTGTTGATAAGTAAAGACACAGATTCAAAACAGATAACAAGACCCATATGCAATATGCATATGACTTAATACAGCAAAATAAACCATTATCTAATGATTTGTCTACAATAAATATAGAAAACTGACTAAAATATTAAATTTACAGTGAGACCTTCTGGTGAAAATTTTAAAAATTACTAATGATTTTGATCACTGTCCATGCAGTTATTACACATTGCTATCTTAGTTACAATGGTAAATGACTGTAATAAGCAGGTGTACAATCTCTGTTTTGGGGAGTATTACATGATAGTCAAATACAAATGTATTCATTAATCAGCACAAGATAATAGCTTCACACTACACCAATGAGAGACCACTTACATTTTCTAATAAGTTAACTAGATGAAAAATTTATTTTATCTTTAAAAGCAGCCAGTTTCTTTATTCTGTCATTTGTCAAAGAATAAACTGAGTTGTCTACCAAATGTCAAATTGTTCAAGATCCAGAAAAATGGAGAAAAAGAAAGCTGGAGACTACAAAAATTAAAACTATGTGACCCTTGCTATGGGACATATAGTCCAAGAAAGTCTTGCTGCTATCTTTATTATTTCACATTTAGAATCAATTTGCAGGCCAGGTTTTTATTATTGATTTTCTTTTAAGGTATTTTCAATACAAAGTATAGCACATTCTATACTTATAACTAAATGTTTATGTACTTGCAGAATAGATAAAATTCAGTTAACTCATGTAATTAAAAAAACAATTCTTAGTTTGATTTTTACTTTTACTATTGATACTGCTATTCCATTCTCAAATAAATATGCAGGTAAACATCAGCACGCACATCATGACACCTAAAATACAAAATAAGTTAAAAGAAAAGCATGCTTGGGGATTGTTAAATATATTTTTAAATAGTCTCTCATAATATTTTTTATGAATAACTGCTGAAATTAGTTTAACTGGAAAGATATGCACTTCATAAAAGCATATCCATCTAGAAATAGTGGAGAAGATGACCTAATACTGCAGCAAAGTAGGTTAATATTTTCTATAGGAACAAAAACATTTAAACCAATTATTATGGATTATTGCTTTAAATCATGAATTAAACACCCTTGATTTCTATTGAATCTAGAAGGAATATTGTGTAATTAAAACTTTTTAACCTAAAATAGGTGAAGACTGGATGAGGCTGTGAACACACAAATGGAATCAACTTTATTGTTATAGTTGATAAAGTCATTTGTATATAGATTAGTTCATCTGCCCTTCACAATCCCCTTACATGTGGTAAGTCCAACAGGTATTTTTATTTCAAATTTTCAGATGAGAAATTGAGATGCCAAAAGTGAAGTGGCTGCCAAGTCACAGAGCCCCCAAAACCAAAAGTTCAGATTCTTGTCATCCCCCTTGGAAGAAAATGTATTTTTCTTCACAAAATTCAGAATATTATGAGTTGTTAAAACTCAGAAGGAACAGTGAGTATAATTTACAAAGTACTTTTTTTTTTAAGAAATGAAAACATGACTAAGACTTAAATAATCAAAAAAAAAAAAAAACAAAAACACAAAAAACCTGACTTTGAGTTTCATATGTATTAGTAACATACAAAGGTGCTGGTGGAGAGTCTGATCTCACTGGGTCAGTTTCTCAGTCAGAAAAATGAAAAAGCAGACTAGAAGATCCTCAACTCCTCCTAGTTCTAGAATCCTATGATCTGCTGTGTGCACCACTCATTATTTCAAGAGCTCATTGACTTGGCTTCAAGAATTGGACACACCAGTTCTGGCTGTATCATACTACATAAAGGCAGGCAGGCAGACACACAAGGCTAACGAAGGAATATCAGAATAGTTAATGAATGGCTCAGGCCACAGTACTGTTTCCAAGTTTCAGACCTTCTTATGGGTCAGTGATATCTTAGGGAGCATCATAGAGAAAGTAACTCGTGCTCGTCAGCTTCTCAACAGGAAGCAACAGCTTGAGACATTGATGACTCTTGTTTAACTAAATGTGTACATTATAATTATTAGAAAATTCAGGCCGTCAACTCTGGTTTATCAGAGACTGCCATCATATCAGAAACTGTTTTTCTTTAGGTAATCCATGATTCCTTTCCAAGATCGAAAACTAGACTGAACAGGCACAGTCTGGTGCAGCGTGGTTTTCAGTCTTCCAAAATTCTTTGACAGGGAAAGGAAATAAAGTCTAAGCACTTTTTTTTTTTGGCTTTAAAATGTAAAATTTTAAGCTGCTATATTTCAAAAGAAAAAGAAAAAAACAGTACTTAGCTTTTCCCATGTGTTCATTCACATTTGATGGTGGGAAGTGGAAATATGCCAACACTTAACTCCTTAAAATACAAATCACGACATTACACATACTGCTTACATCCCAACTAAATGGCACGACTCCCTGTGGGTTGTCCAGTGAGGACATGTTATGTGTTCTGGGCTGAGACACATGACCCTAAAATTCATGTGTTGAAATTCTAACTCCCAGTATGTCACAATGTGATGTAAATTTGGAAACAGGATTTTTAAAGAGGTTATTAAGCTAAAAATGAATTTATTGAGGGGGAGCCCTAACCTAATCTGACTATATACCTCAGAAGAAGAGGAGATGAAGACACAGACACACACACACAAGAGAGACCAAGTTAAGCCTTTTCCCTCTGTAAGCCAGGGAAAGAGGCTTCAGAGGAAGACACTCTGCCATCTTGATCTTGAACTTGTAGTCCCCTCAACTGTGAGAAAATACAGTTCTGTTGTTAAGCCGCCTGTCTGTGGTACTTGGTTAGGGCAGCTGTAGCTTACTAACACAGCGTGTCAAAGCCCAAGACAATGTAGGTGAGGAGTGATGTCACACCTCCTCCACTTCTTCCTTAAAATACGGCTCAAGATGCACAATTTACCATATTCCACAGCACTTCACGCAAGCCCTAAGTACCCTCAGTGTCTAGAGTTCTTCCTGAGATGTAAAATTAAGTGTCAAACTTTGTACTTAAAATATCTATTTGACCAGCAATTTTGGTGAATTTACTACAGAAAATGTCTCTTAAAAGTTCAAAAAACTGAAGTTCAAGTTAATAGTCGATAATTACTAACAGTCATACTTCATCCATAGAAGATAAAAATTCACATTAAAATGAAACGTATTAAAGGACATCAGACAGTAAAGTAAATTGAACCATGATTATCATAACCAAGATTCATGCTACCTGTTCTTCAGTGAATTTTTTAAGAGTCTTCAAACACCCAATGGCTACTTGATTATTTTAAAAGGCTTTTGCTATGATATTTGTGAATATCAAAAAATAAGTATTTTTATAATATAAAAGGCTATTTTTAAATTAACTCATCTCTAAAGCTATTGTCACCTATTCAGAATCAATCAGCTGCTAAAGATGCATTTATGAATGACCATCTATCTTCTTTTTCTTAAAATCAAATAAAAGACTTCCTAACACAAAATTTCATAGAGATAACTAGTGGAAAATAACTTTTAAGATCTGAGAGAAAAACAACAGCTCTATTTTTTTTTTAATTTCATCTTCACATACTTTAACCCCCTACCAGAAGGATGAATAATTCCTAATGTTCCAGAAATGTCAGCCCACAGCAGGTTGTTCTGGAATTGATTATTTCACAAATGCATTTCACATTTTTAAAAAAGGCAAATTAATGGCAAAATGAGTTGTGATAGAAGTTTAGGGTGCTTTTGGTGTAACAGTGAGTACATAATTAATTGCAGATATGAAAGTGTCCTATAGCATAAATTATTTAAAACACCATATATATACATAACCGCCACAGCAATAAATAAAACTAATACCAAAAGACAAATTAAATCCCTTTAATTGCCATCCAAATTGGTCTTAAGTTGTCACACAAAAATTGCAGAGTGTTTTTTTATGAGTCAATATATTATTTTTATTCATAACAATAAAAACAAATTTGACTTTTGATAAAAGAAATATTATAGCATTAGGGAAGGAGAAGGAAAGTGGACTTATTTAGATTAGTTTTCCACAAGCAGTGATAAAAATATGCTACAATGTGACAGTCTATAAATTGAAGCAAAATTTTAAAATAATAGATGAGCATTCTTTTTTTATCTATGGTTTGGTTAAGAGCTCTGTTTTTGGAAAGTCATTCCTTTTCACTAATTAATGAAGTTATTTCCACAGAGAAAAGTAGTTTGATAGACCTTTTTTTTTTGTTTTAAAGATTTATTTACTTATGCTTACAGAACTGGGGTATAGGCCAGAGATGCGGTAGGTGAGAGCATTCAACAGAGACAGAGTGGGGAGAAGAACAGGCATATCTACTGAAATACACTGCCAAGGGGAGCAGCAGACAGGTCAGGAGAGGTCTGCCACTATACCATGTGGGTCAGCTTCCTGCCCGGGGGCTGCAGTGGCTTTGGAGAGCTTCATAGTGCAGTGCCTTAACCTGTTGTGCCACCAGTGAGGGCCCTTGAAAGACCTTTTTAAAAATTAACTTAAGGGCACCATTGGTGGCCTAGGAGTTACACCTCAATGCTATTACTGCTACAGCCTGAGTTTGATCCCCAGCCAGGGAGCTGACCCACATGGCGCAGCAGACCTCTCCTGTCTCGCCCCCTGCTCCCCTCAGCAGTGGATTTCAGTGGATCTGCCTGTCTTGCTCCCCACTCTGTCTCCGGTGAATCCTCTTACTTCCTACATCTCTGGCCTACACTTCAGTTCTTCTATACAAAAAAATAAAACAATTAAAAACAATTCACTTACAACTTTGCATTATCTACATATTCCATTCAATGATTGTACTTTAATAGGGAAAATGTAAACTCACGTGTCATATACATTGAGCAGCCAGTTGAGACACATATCCACACAGAGGGGAACATTAACCAGATCCTTATGCATTTGTTCGAGGCCATCATAAGCAGTTGTCAGGCAGTTGATGACATCTGGGACACTAAGAAGCTGGTCATTTTGGTTCAGCTTATGTTGTTTGAAAACTTCATTTGTTGTATTCAGGTCTAAGAGATCCACTGGTCATGTAAGAAAAAGGATTGGGGACAGTCATGACATTATTTGAGGACACTAAAGCAAAAACATTTCAAGTCTCTGTTATTTAGCTTACTTCTTGAACTTAAGAATCTTTTAAAGATAATTTCAATAAAAAAATAAAGGAATTTAGATTTCTTTAAAAGAAACAGCTAGTATTTCCATTCTTTTATTTCTAACCTCTTTCTCCCCCCTCCCCACATTTGTATATTTTTTGAATCTTAACTTGGGTCACTCATCAATCTGATCCCAATTCTTGCTCTTCACAATATCAATTTTTCTTTCTTTCTTCTGCTAACTTTCCTCCCTACAGTTTTCTTTGTAGAAGAATAGAAACCCCTGTATTTACTTCAACTGGTAGAATTTCCCATATGTATTACTCTCCTCTTCTTAGCTCCTGAGAAGAACTAACTTGTCATTCTCCCTTTCATCTGTTACATCACTGCCCAACTACTCATTCATGAACACTTTCTCAACAAGTCCATCATAACTTTCAAAGTCCCCTGAAGATGTGGTCTGCAGAAGATAACAGCTCTGCACTGCCTTCCCCATCAGGTTGTTATATAGGGCCCAAACAGTCTGGCTCCAACCTGGCTGGCTTCCCAGGGCCCTCTAGCATGTATGAACTACACAATGGAAGCCCACATCCACAGGCCTTCATGTGTTTGCCCCATCCTTACTCTACAGACATCTGTCTACAGAGGATGAAGGTGGACATAGAATGAGAAGGCAGAGCTCTGTTCTCTAAGACACAGCTCTGTGGAGCATACCAACAGCTGTTCTAAAAGAGTCAAAAAGCTCTAAGAGGAGAACACACATATTTCTGGGATTTAAAAATTTACAGATCAAAAACTATTTCTAAACTCAATAGGGGATTACATGTTTTTATGAACAGAGACATACAAATCTGAATAACAGGACAATCCATATCCTCTAGGTGTCTAAAACATTGTGTTAAAATGTCAGGTAATAAAAATAACTTGTGTAAGCTTCACATGAGTTAGAAGATCAATTATGGTAAGAAAAATAACAAAGAACCATTTGGAAGTTTCGTTGTTCTTTTACCCCACTTCTTGGCACTGTACATACTTTCAATTATAAACTTCCAGAGGACAGGGCAAAATTCAAATCCCTTCTTCATAGTGTCTGACAAAGGAAAATGCTTATCAAATGACAGTAGTTACAGAAGTATAATTAATTTCACACAGATACAAAGGAACATATTCAAAGACTGCCAAAATGGCTAAATTTTCTGAATTCCAATACTAATTAATGCCAGCACACAGGACAGCTATTGTCATCCCCTCGTACGGCATAAAGTGACAATAGACCAGATTATAAAAAGGCAAATTCCTGGTTCAGGCTATCCTTGTATTCCTTCCGGAAAACCTCCTTGGTAATATACTTTGTAGCTGTGAGAGTCACTCACCACATCCCACATGCTATTCTGTCTTCAATTTTTGGTGACTTCCTTTGATACTTTCCCTCCGTGGGCATACACCTCCCTGAAGTGTGTCACACTGATGTACCTTTAAAGAGCTGGCTACATCTCAATCCCCAAAGTTATGAGCCCCTCCTTTCAAAAAGCTCAGTCCTGTGGCAAAGGAATCACTTTCTAAGCAACTTTCAGGTTTTTTCCTTAGTCCCACATCTGAGGTGGAGGGGATCACATGGGAATGGTCTTCACTCCCTTGTTCCTCAAAATGCATGGGCTTTAGGATTGTTTGACCTTGACCTTCCCTTCTTAGCACCTTTCCAAGCTTCTCTTTCCCAGATGTGTCAGACAAGTACGTGCCCTGTCAATAGACTGGACTCAATTACTCTTCCCTGAGGACAACTCTAGACAGGCCTTACCCTGAACTCCCGCTGGAACCCTCCATTCACTTTCCTGCTGCTCTGATCCCAACCAGAGCTCTACTGTTCTCTTTCAGGAGCCTCTACCTGAAGATCTTCCAAATGGAGGCCTGGCCCTCTCACTATGCTGAAATTCCGAATGGTGTAACTACCTCTTCTAGACTATCAGTCTGTTAGTGATGGGATATTTTCCTACCCTCTTTCACCCTAGGCAATTTACCAACTACAAATCTCCTCAACCAGCAGTTGTTCTACCAGCTTACAAATCCTGCTTCATCTCCCCTTTCTTCACACTAACCAGACAGCTCAATTCCCTCATCTTTCATCTGGGCTATTTTCTTATGCTCTGTTCTCTCAGGCCTTTTCTCTGTTGCAGATATTGGCTAAAGCATGCATCCACATTTTGTCCTATTTCCTAACTCCCACCAAAAAAAAAAAAAAAATTTCCACCACACCCCCACTCTCAAAGAGAAAATCTAAACATTACATATAACTCTGTGAGAACTCAGAAAACAAAAATTTAAAGAAATTGGAAGAGGTTTCACTGAATGAAAAGAGTCTTCTAACTGGACTTAAGCTGATGTTAAGGAAGTGTGTAAATACGGAGCAAATGGCTCATAAGCTACACCCCTGAAACCGAATCTTGTCTTCTGGATTCCAGCCAAGCCTTTGAGTCAAGTGCATGTCACCTTCTCCTACTTACTCTTTGATCAGGGGCCATGTGCCTAAACCCGGTGTGGCTCAGCTCACAGGCCTCCTGACCACTGCCTTGTTCTTTACGGTGAGGGGCAATGCACCCTCCTCTGCCATCATTTCCTCTGTTCCCCTATCACGTGAAGGTTTACAAGGAAATACAAAAGAATACACTATCTATAACATACCTGTGTGGTCCACCTGTCATGTAGGTTTAAAATCAAAACACAAAAGAACTGATATAATGCAGTGGTTTAAAGAAAAATAACAGAACACCCACAGTAGAGTAAATGAACTAATCAGGCTTTTTAGCCATGAGCCTCTGTGGCTATCATTGTAGCTTTGGTCATGTTCATGCAGAGGATGACTGATGGTGGGCACCTGGAGCATGGGGGGAGGGAGGGCGAGGGGTTGGTGCATGTGTAAGTGTGCACACCTGAGCCTCAAGGTCAGGGCTATAAGTTAGGTCCCACACCAATAGAATAAGGCAAGGAGACAGAAGTAAGGGAGCGGAAGGCTTTATTGCACTCCTGGGGAGGCCCGCTGAGTGTACAGACAGGCTAGGGGGCTTTTATATGTCCCACTCTGTGAGGCCAGGCGAAGTAGTGGACAAGTGCCAGTGAGCCATGCTGCCCTTTGGGTCAGCAGTCTTTGATCCTCAGTCTTTGCTCAGGGTCTTTGATCCTTATCAAAGCAGCTACCTGGGGGAGGGAGTGGTGACCTGGGGCAACATTCTGAGCCAACTCATCTTGATACTGCCAGATCCTTTGGCTGCTCTGGGGACCTGGGTGGTCTTTCAATAAGGATGGCTACAAGAGCACATGTGACTACAAAAGTGGCAAGATCACCAGAAACACTGGAAAGAGCCCAGAGGAAAGAGTCAGAGAAAGAGTAAAGATTTGTGAGGGGGCTGACAGGCCTGGTTGCCTGCCTGCCTCCCAGCACCCCTTTCCTGGCCGATGGCTACCTCCTTGCATTCCAGCCTCTCTGCCTGGTATACAGGTTTCCTGAGAGAACATTAAAGCCTCCACCAATGGCTCTGGGTCTCTCGCCGTCTGCCTAAATCCATAGGAGACCTGCCCTGTGCTTGCTGGTGCTGCACGCATTAAAACTTCACACAGGCAGAGAGAGAGCATACCAGCCATCTGGGATCACCTCCTTCACTACATCCCCTCACAAAGACAGGGAGAATCACTAACTTGATATTTCATTTTTTTTAATTGTTTATGTTTCCTTAAACCATATAACATTTAGTTCTGTTGGTTTTGAACTACAAATAAATGGAATCAAACCAAGAACTTTTTCTGCCACTGATCTTTTTTCATTCAACTCTAGTTCGAAGACTCCATCACGTGGATGCTGATTATTAGCCCATTTTTGCTGCTGCATCAAATCACTTTTATGAATATGCCAAAACAAAGTTTACAACTAAAAAGTGCTGCCATAAATCCCCTCAGACATATCCCCTAAGATATTTCCATAACTTTCAAAGTCAACTCATATACTCAGTATATCCTAGGAGAAAGCTCCAGAGAAGTTATAGAAGGTCCCAAGGGAGAAGAAAAGAGACTCTCTTCCATGAAAGCTTAGTTCATGGAGAGAAAACAAAGTTTTCAGTATGCAGGCAAGCCAGCAAGCAAGAAAGCACAGAGATAATCCAACATTGTGATAAAGGAGTGCATAGCAGCTGAATCTAGGAGGTGGCATAACTAGCATTATCGAAGCCTCATGAAGGCCAGGCACCAGTTACAGCTGTATCTGAGGGAATAGACTTTTCCAGTCTGGGGAGAGTGTTAGCACCAAGAGCAGAGACAAGCTCTTCTGGTAGGACTAATGGGATAGAACCAGGCATTTCCTCCAGAACTAATGAGTGAGGTGAATGAAGACATGGGCTGAGGCAGAGACCATTCCATGCTGAAGACAACAGGAATCTATCTGCTGTAAGCAAGTGAGCTGTGACCATGTATAGTGTGTTCTTTCTAAACTGAGCTCTCTGAATAGATCTCTTTATGTTGTTTTATCTCCTACATAATCTGGGGCCAATAAGTGAATGAACAAAGACACAGCAGACACCCTGCCCTTTCCACATTAGGACATAATGCTGGGTGAGGATTAACACAAAAGGAGAGACAACTCCTGACCTAGGGCAATTCTCAATGGTGGAGGGGCAATCCCCTTGAGACAGAATCTATTCCCACAAAGAACACACACAGCGCCTCTGTGAGAAACAGCCTCACAGCCATCATAAAGTGGAGACACTTGAATCAACATTGTAGGCAGGTGGGGTTAGCTTGGCAACATTTCCAAAGAAAGTAAATTGTTAACAGTATTTGGGAGGCATCAAGGGAAGGCCCATTGCAGAGGAAGGTCAGAACATTTGAAACAGAGAAGATGGAAGACGAAGGAGCAGATTAATCATAAATAGGTGAGCTCCCCTACGTGGTGCAAAGGGCGCCAGCTGGACAGCAGTGGGCAGAAGGAAAATAGCAAACAGGTGGCTCAGAGGACATGGCCCTGGATATTCGCAATGCAACACGCAGCAATTTTCTAAGAGTGTATTACTACGTCACTAAGCTGAAGAGTGGGGACGTCTCGTTTTATCCTCTGACGTTTGAAGGAACCAGCTGAAGAGGGGTGTTCTTTCTTTAGGGGTTTAAAGAATCAACAGAAGAGAACCCAAATGAGTTGATATGTTTATCCAACCCAGAAGTATTATGAGAAACTGAGAGCTTGTCCACAATGACACAAAGTGTTCCTCTGTCATGAAGATTTTGTGGTTGAGTCATTAGTCCTCATTTTATAGCTCACTGCCTCTCAGAAGACCTTCCAGGTCTGTCAGCTGGATCCTGGACATGCAGCTGAGCCTCTTTCAAAGCTGCTGTCACCCTGGCCTCACTGCACATCCCTTTTGTGTGACCCTAATGGCTCAACATGCATTTACTCAGCGTGTGGTAGCTCTCTACTTTATTTATTTGTTTGTTTGTTTGTTGCTCTTGGAATTCAGCATCAATTGCCACCACCTTAGCTCCTGCTAATTATCTTTGGGGCTCTGTGGCTCAGATGGGCCCAGTGGTGCTTTACAGGCCATTAGATTTCTTATCCACACACGCACACGGTTTTCTCATTTTAAAGCTATGCCTGGCTGAATTGGCTCTGAATGATAGGACACTTCTTTCTTCTTAACTCTCCTCATGTAGCCAGCTTAAAATGTATTATTAATTTCTACTTATTTTAAAGAACAGCTTGCTATTCTTTAAACCTTCATACATTATTTTTCTAGGGTAACTTTGAAAGTTTTAATGAACTGCCTACACATATATAACAATGTTAACAAAAGGTAGTAAACAAAACAAAAAAAAAAGAAACTATTCAGATTACTGTGTTTTAGAAGATAGGCAAAGGTCTCTTCTTGGATTAAGTCTCCTCTGAATCTTAAACATTTTTACTGAGTAATCATAATCATTAATACCACGACCACAAACAGGATCCAGACAGCTTAATCCATCTCTATTTCAAGCGTTCTTTTAAATATATTTAGGTAACTTGGTAGAGAAAGTAAACTTTTAGTACATATAAAAGCTATCAAAGAATATCACCCCAAAAATATTCTCCTCAGGAGGAATTCATGTTAATAACACTAAGGTCGCAAGGCATATTTAAATACACACAAAGTCTTTATCTAATTTTTTAAGTGCTAGTTCAAATTTGGATCAAGGATGGTTGTTTCTCTGCGTTGCCTTATTAAATAATTGCATTAAATCAGATTCTTTGCAATCTGTACTTCCAAATGGATCAAGTACTAAAAAGGCTACAATTTATTACTTTGATTCCTTGGTTCATTTAAATGGGTGGCAACATCCTTTTGGAAAAAGCACTTTATGTTAATCTTGTATTTTGGTTAATTTTGCTCTTCCACCGAGAATGGCATATGCTTGTTTGTTTTACTCCTGTTTGCTGATGGGAGCAAATAATAGAGCATTTCTAGAAACACAGCCAACTCATCGAGCGAGGTACACTGAAAATCAGATTAGCTCCACAACCACATCACCCCTTCATTTATCTTTCTCTTAAAATAGCAAACCAGGCAACCCAGAACACAAAGCGATTAGCTCGGGCAGAGTAACTCACAGCATAGAGCTTTCTGCAGCCTCCGGATTTTGATGGCTGTTCGGTAGGCAGAGAAACGGACATTGTTCAGGTCAGCTGAAATGGCAAAGAGAACACACCTTAATATTCAGCTAATACTGGATGGCAAGAATGGATTTGTTTCTTTCAAGTAATGAGAATTATGTTCATCTGCATTAAATCCCCCAGCATTTATTTAAGAAAATAATTAAATGTTCATTAGCACCATGGTGAGATACATTCTAAAGTAGTGCTGCAAAGAAAATGTAAGGGAAGGAAAAGGAAGAGAATGAGAAAAAGGGAACTTTTCACGGCCTAATAAAACATCATACTGCAAGCTGAGGGACTGTTTCTCTCCACTGTGAAGAAGAATTTTCCTCTAGGGGCATTTTCCCCGATGACACTTAAATTGGTTTTCTGTCCACCAGGCTGTCCATCTCACCACGCACAAAGCTAGTCTGTTTCTATGCTCCTTTTGTCTTGATTTGCTGCCGCTTCTGCACTTCGATGGCTCTTTTAAAATCATTTTATAATCAACCTTCAAATCGCTGGAAACAACTGATAATGCAATTTCTATCTCTGTTCCACGAAAGGCAGTCTCAGTATTAGAGACCAACAGAGACAGAAGAAACCATAGAAGTCATCAAAATCTGTCCCTTAAATTTACAAATGAAAACAAGCCAGCAGCCTTACTCCCTCCAGTGAAAGCTCACAGGGAGGCCCCAGCAGCATTTCCACTACTCAAAGAGAAACCTCCTTCTAAACCACTGGCCCAGCCTCAAGGAGCAGGCAAAGCAGTTCACAGTCCATTTCAACTGGAAATCTCCAGGATCACAAGACGACCTCGGAAAAAACAACTGGGAGTGCAAAGAGAAGGTTGCACCAAGTCCCATTTGGATAGGTGAGCTGCACCACAGGCTGTCCCCAAAACTTGGCCCACTACGCTGAACATAAGACATCCTGCTGGACATAAAGCACTAGGCCCTGACCGGTGGACAGCTCACAATTCCCGGGGATGAGAAGGCGTGGAGACCTCAAGTGCACTGGATGGTCTGTACATGTCCGGGTGTAACTCAACCCCAGACAAGTTTCGACGCTGCTCTCCGCCTCTGAGCCTCTGGGGCCTACCCTCTAAATGCCCCTCCCCAGGCCATGGGCAGAGAGAGTCAGGGTAATGCTACTTGCCATCCCTGGTTGCCTCTAACAGAACCTCCCTCCTTTAACTAGAGCTGACGCTCTCTGGTGAATTCTTTCCCTACAGGGCAAAGGGCCCACTCTTTGGGGTCAGAGTCTCTCACAATCAGAATTTTCATCTCCTGTGCTTTCTTGCATTTCCATATTAAAATGAATTTAGCATTGCATGACTACTTAGACAACATGAATTTAAGCAAGTTAATTTAATAAGAGTGATTAAGTAAATAGGGTGCAACTTTCAAGTAGTGAATTAGAGATTGCTGTACTGTTTTTGTTTTCCTACAAAGCTGAAGCTTATGACGACTACATATGAGGGAGATAGGATCTCTGATTAAATTCCCCTTGGAAAATCAACCTTTTCTGGCTCATGCTGTTTGAAACCAGTCATTCACTTCAGAAGAAAGGTAAAACCTGTTTACTGCATTGTGCTTAGAAACTCAGCTGCTTTTCTGTACCAGTGACATGATCCTCTCAACATAACATGCCATCTCATGTGTCTCCATTGAGAAATACATAGCTCTCAGCTGTTTAGGTTTAGTTATTACTATAAAATGGAATGTACTCACCAAGGGATTGAAAGAGTTCTGTCATTTTGGGATGATCCCAGCAGGTAGTCTGTGTTTGATGACTGGGGAGAAAAGGTATTACATTGTAAATTAAAGTCTATATAAAGTGTGAATGTATATATATATATATATATATACACATAATGTAGATTACAGGGACAAGATGCAAATAAAAAAGGTTTTTAAAAAACATGCAAAGTTATCCCACAGTGGATCACTCAGAAACATGATGCCCATTCTTACTTAATATTTGAAACATCAATAATACATTTTTACTTGAACCTTAAAATTATAAACATTTTGGGCCCTCCCTGGTGGCACAGCAGGTTAAAGCACAGCACTAAGAAGCTAAAGCCACTTCAACATGAGTTAAATCCCCACCCGGAGGTGACTACATGGTGTGGCAGACCTCTCCTGACCCGCCCGCTGCTCCCCTCAAAAGTGTACTTCTTCAGTCAGCCTGTTCTGCTCCCCACTCTGTATGCATAAATAAATAATCTTTTAAAAAAAAATTATAAATATTTCATTGTGCTATTTCAAAAAGAACTGCAACAAAATTGTTAAAACATAGTGTGGGTATCATGAACCCAGGACTCAAGCCAGATCCACCGAGGCTCCAGAATAACTCAACTTGAGTTGGGCAGATGTAGATTCTTGTGCAGAACCAATTCTCAGAGAGTAGAAGTGCTGCGAGGAGTTGCTAAACTTTAGATGTTTGAATCAAATTCCCGCCAATGGAGAAATGAAGACTTTAATTCGAATTAGCTTCTCACAATCTACTGAGCCTCCCTCCTTTTCACCCTTGAGTCTTCCTTCCTCAATGTAAATATGCCCCTTTCCCTGTGCAGACCCACTTAGTATCCTATAATTGGTATAAAGATTATTTTAAGCTAAAGACATCTGAGTTTTAATAGATGCAGAAAGTTTTTATAGCCTCCTTTAGCTGACAAAAAGCAGCAACTTCTGGGAAATGAGGCTAAGTCCCCTCTCCCGGGGAGATAGAAGGCATTGCATGGCCATGAAGACAGAAAAGCCACACTTCTATGTTCAGCAAACATTCACACAAACTTCCATATTGGATGTTTGTTCTCTTAAAGTGATGACATTTATTTTCTGAAAGAAACCTACCTGTTCTCACAGGAACCTTTCCCTCCCAATTCTCTGCCCTTACTAGGTTACTTATAAAAATGCCAAATTCTAACTATTCCAGAGAGTAACCTCACTGTGTGAGCATTCCATGCATATGTAAACACTTTCTTTCCTCTTGCTAATTTGCCTTTTGACAGTTTAATTCACATGTCTCCTGAGCTTAATCTGAGAGGATAGAAGAAAAGGTTTTTTTCTCCCTGACATTTCTTTCCTGCATATCTAGGTTCCCACTTCCCTTTGTGTCTTTCTCTTGTCATTTCTTTCTTTAAAAAAAAAAAAAGCTTTATTTATTTAAAATGCAAGAGCTGGGGTACAGGCCAGAGGTGCTGGGATTCACCAGAGACAGAGTGGGGAGCAGAACAGGAGGATCCACTGAAATGCACTGCTGAAGGGAGCAGCCAACAGGACAGAAAAGGTCTGCTGGGTCATGTGGGTCAGCTCCCTGGAGGGGGATCGAACTAGACTGCAAATAGCTTCAGCGCTGCGTTTTAACCCCTTGAACACCAGTCAGACTCCTCTCTTGCCATTTCAATGGGAGTCCCTCTCTCAGCTTTCATCAATTACTCAGTAAATTTTGATAGGGCTTGAACAATTTTCCCTCATGATGTTGATTCTTCTGTAAATTCCAAAATGACTTCATAATTTGAAATCCTCTGGGAATATGATGAGGGGATCACAGAACAATGTAGTGATTAAATGTGTTCCTGTGAGGGGTACGAAGGGGTAAACAGTTCTTAACCTCAATGTGTCAGTGACCTTATAGTTAAGAAAAGTTTACTGTCTTTTTTCTAGGTCAGAATAGAGTAATAACATTTAATAGTACTCAAAAGGCTTCTTGGCTGACACTCAGTTCTTACAAAACTGTTTAGTAAGCTAAGTGAAATGGCAAGTGCACGGGAGAGAGGAGCATGGAATAGTCACATAATCAAACGTAGGAGAAACTTTTTTTTTCATTTATGTAATAGATCAAGAAGTGGACCTAGGTGCTGGGAAAGGACATGATCACTGTTACACAGACTCAGGCAAAAGACCCCCCCCCCCAACACATCAGTTCCTGTGAAGAATACTTGACATTTCACTAGGAATGGGACAGGTGGAGCAATGCTGGAGGATGAGGAGCAGGCCTTTGGTGGTGGACATGGCTGTTAGCCGTGAAGCTGTCTTGAGATTGACACAGTACCTAAAACAATTTACCTTCATTGAAAAAACAAGTCCTGGAATATCCAAAATCTCAACCAAATAGCACCTCTACAATGTGAAGCTGTGTCTCAGTACAGTTGGAAAACTCTGACTTCTTTACCTGTTTCTATTTCCACTTTCTATTCTACTCCTGAACACTAAAGCAAGCCATATTATCCTTTGACCATCTAGGTAGTTGCAAAGTCACAAGCAAGCATGAAATTTTTTGACTTAAATTCTCAGTTTATAGTGAGTTCAGGAGCTTGACAGGCAGAGTTTGGAGCTTCCACCCCCTCGTACTGAATGGGACTGGCTTTTACCAGCACCCCAAGAAATATAAACACCCTTCCAAGTTTCAAAAGACATCACCAAGCAGTCTTCTGAGATATGAAGTAAAACAAGAAAGTAAATAATAAACAAATGACATCTTTAAAGTTTGCTAAGCAAGCCACCTCTTTCCTACCATCAATGTAAATTAAGGAGGATTAGCTGAAACGATTCTATTATTTATATTAATTCATCTCAGTTCTTGCCTATCAAGATTCAGTTGCTCTCCCAAGTCCTCCCTTTGAGCAACTTCACCCGAAGGGCAATACTGATGTCCAAAGACAGATGACCCATTGAGATGGACCAAATTAACACTCAAGAAGCAAACTGATGTGAGAACTGCCAAGTTCAATTCTGTACTCTAAATTCCCAATTATGGCACTTTGGCAAATGACCCCTTGGTGATATGCCACCAAGCTGGCAGGCAGTGGACCGAGAGTTCAACGAGAACACGAGAACACGTGCTGGCAAATAGCTCCTTTTAGTGAAACCCCTACTTGGAGCTGAGGGAACAGGCACATTTGGTAAACAGATGGAGAGGGAAAGGCATCTCCCTTTGTGAATTCAATACCAGTTGATTCATTAGGCAGAACTGCCAATGCTGAAAATAAACACAGCCTCTGGTTACAAAAGTATACCGGCAGCTTACCAAACAACAGTGAGAAAGGAAAAAAAAAGTACATGCAGTAGGCTGTTGGGTTTTCTTTCTTTTTTGTTTTAAGTCAGAGTTTGGGGGGGAAGGGAGGAGTGTGGTGTGTGGAAGTTTTAAAGCAAAATCCACAATCAATCCAAAGGGCCAAAGTGTTTGAACAGCTGCGGATTACTAAACTCAAGTAGAAAAACGTTCACTGATTTCCAGGCTAGGTAACCACAACAGAAAAGGGGAGCATTTCCCCCAAAAGAACAACAGCTCTGGTTGTGGCCAAATCTCAAATATAAAAGATGAATGAGTAGTTTTGAACAGTCTGAAAAACTAGAAAGTATGCTGTAATTTTGTCGCTAAGTAGAATAGACAGAGCAGTCTGTGCAAAATGAAAATGAAAAACCTAACAAAGCAGCAATTAAGAGTTGAGTCTAAAATGTCTGAGGCAAAATACAATGAGACATGCAACCAGGTGTCCCGTTCCACCAGTTTTGTTTGTTTAGGGAAAAACTGTGCAGGTCTTTGATGTGAGCAAAAATTTAGTGGGTGTCACACCTGTGTGGTTTAAATTGTCTTTGAGCTATTTTAAACTCTGCAAACTGAAGAAAACTGATACTAATGTAAATGTTTTTGCCCACAAAATGCAAATTCTGTCCACTGGAATGCAACTGATTATTGTCTGTGGATAATAACCAGTTTGTCAGCTTTGTAACTAAGGGTTAATTCATTTCAGCCTCCGCCATCTGACTGCAAAGACATAGTGCTTTGTCTTCTCCTTGGAGTTTTTTGTAACTTCTTACCAGTAGTCCCCTTAGTAATTAGTGAGATAAATGAAATCTAGTGCCTGCTTTTTATATTGGTATGTAAATTAAGATTTTAACAGTTTTATTTAAAACACTTTTATTTTTATTTTATAATTGAGATGCAAGTTGACATGTCACTGTAAGTGTAAGGCATACAGGTGCTGACCTGGTATATTTCCATGTTGTAACTTGATTATTAAGTAGTATTAGCTGACACTTCCATCAGATTTCATAGTTATTTTGGGGGGATGAGAACATTTAAGCTTTGGTCTCTTAGCAACTTCGAAATGCACAATACAGTATTGTCTACTATAGTCACACTGCTGTGCATTAGCACTCCACTACCTATTTCGAGAAGTTACCTGTGAACACCTGGGGCAATCCTGGCTTACACCTGCTGTTGTCTAATTACTAAAGGTCACTCTTTACTCTTAAGCATCCTCATTGAGATAATGAAGTCCAATATTTTATGGACTTCAATAAAGTATTAAACCAGTAAGATTGATAAGTAGCTTCTTCTATTATTCACAAGGTATTCTCATAAGTCAGAGAATAAAACACAAATAAGACTGTACACCAATAATAGAAATAAAGAGTCTATGAATTACATAGGAGACTATAATTGAGTTCTACCCACGAAACAATAAACCAACAAAAATATACATGTATTTTGAAAGGTTATAAAGGTACTGATTTCTGGGTAAACAACTGTTCTAGGCGAGATACTTTCTAAATCCAATTATCCTCATCAGAATGGTACTTTTTTTTTCTACAAAATCTTAAGAGAGGTTGAAAGGTTAAACAATCTGTCCAAAAATTGACACTTAGCCAAATATACTTGTTAGGATAAGTAATATCCAACTGTATATATGCTTAAAACTGGATTTTGTGATATTTATCAATCAATTTCAATTACAATCATAAAGCCATGTGAGAGAAAAAATGTGTAGTGAATGAACTA